ATTAGAGAAGCCAGAAGTAAAGGTGTTAGACTCATGCCAGACAGCAGACAGAGAGAGAAGTCAGACCCCCAGTAAATACCACTTAAGGTAAGAAAAGTAAACAAGGAAGCAAGCTGGCTCAAGGAGCATCCAAGTAGGTGGTAAAGAGGGTGACAAAAGGCAAGCAGTAGCTAGCAACTCCTCTGGGTGAACTCTGATACTTGTGTCCTTTTCCCCAGGCTTTGTTTTACTTGCTGGTGGGAGTGTTGCTTGTTGGGAGCCAGATTTCACTGTGATGACACTGAAGATCAAAAGCCTACAGATTAGACTCCACCCTTGATTAACTCCAGGACCCACACTAGAATTAGTACCCAGATGCAGCCTGAGACAGAAGCTTGAGTCTGAGGGTGGCTCATGAAACAAACTTCTAAGGAAGTCTTGATAACCTAATCCTTTTCTAGAATGCAATGAGAATACTCTTCCAGTTCTTGGGAGAGGCAAGCAGCCAACTTTCAAGCAAATCTGATCAGCAAGTAGGACTCAGAAACAACACATTCCATCCACTTGGCTCAAACATCTCAAAGCTGGAAAGGGAGGTGGGTGCCTCCTACTCATCCATTATACATTTGAAGCCCTGAGTACCCTATCCAGCCCACAAGAGTGGTCCTGACCTAAATCCATCAACCGATTTGTTTTGGGCCCATTTGTTTTCTCATTTCGCCCAAGAGAAAGGAGCTTTGGTTTTATCTAAAGAGATCTGCTTTCAAATCCAAATACACTCCTCCTCGTCCTCCAAACCCAGTTTCTTGGCTTTTCCTTGCAAGGAACTGTGGGAAGGCCCTTCTAGCACCTGCCCCATCCAGCTGCCTTTTATCTATACCCGTCAGACAGCAGATGAATTCCCACATTCCTTCTGTTCTCACCAGCAGAGCAGAGAGCTGGGTCACCTTCTCTACCATCTCCACCCTCCTCAACCCCCCCGCCCCACTCCTCATCGGACAAATGGCTTCCAAATAGTGGACCGTGAATCATTCACAGGTCAAGAGTTCTAAAGAACACAGGAGAGAAACAGAAATAGAAACTTGTTTCAGATACACAGATTACTTACTCCTGTTCTGTGTCTCAAAGTAAAAAAAGAAAAGAAAAAAAAATGCATTCTGTACTATGGTAGCCAAAAAAAAAGTTGGAAACAGTACTTTCAACAAGGCTTGGCCATTGAGTTAAGACTTCCCTCTCAACCCAGTGGCAACACTTTTCCACACTGGCTCAAGCTCTGAGAAGACTTCTAGCTATCTTGTTGGTCAGCAATTTAAAAGAAAAAATGCTGGCTTTTGATGTTCATTCATAAGCTTCTTCCCCAAAACACCAATATTCTGTGCATGGAAACACCTCTGCTCATGCTGCCTAATCCTGCCTTCTTGAGGCTCCCTTCGGCCTATAATACATCCAACTGCCTCGCCAGGAACAGCAGGCCTCGGAGCAGCATGAGCTCCATTTCTTTGCATTCTGCCTTTCATCTTCAGTCAGAACAAATACGGGCCAAAGTCACTCTTGAAGTACCTTCAGCTTTCTTACAAAATTAGCCTCCATCTCCTGATGTGATGCATTCTTTCCCAATACAGGTAAAAACAGCCAGGCCTAAGGTTCAGTTCAAGCCCCATTCGCTGCCATTCTAAGGGTAAATGGCTCTGCTCTCTTCTTCCTCTCCCAGGGCAAATGGAAGGAGGCCAGCACAGAGAGGTGACAAGCTTAGTGTGAACCTGATGTCCAAACTAACTCTACCCACATGCCTGCTGTGCCCTGACCAGGCTGCCCACAATTCTCACCTAGACAATTAATTCATTGTCTTTCATCAAAAGAAAAACAACTTCTCTGTATCCGTGTAGCTGGCTCAGCTTGCTCTTCTCAACCAAACAGAATATCCTACTTTCTTTTAAGAAAGAAAGGTAAACAGAGACAATGTGGTCTGAAGGGTTTCTTTTTAACTGTTTGGTGTCCTCTAAGTCATGTAAAACCAAACCAGGAACCATCTATAATCCTAGCCACTCAAGAGGCTGAGACCCAGAGGATGTCAAGTGGTAGCCAGCCTGAGCCAAAAGTCTCCAAGACTCCATCTCCAATTAACCAGCAAAATGCTAGACTGGAACTGTGGAGATGTGTGCACCAGCCATGAGCAAGAGAAAGAATCAGGGGAGTAAGGTCCTGAATTTAAGCCCCAGTACTGACATAAAGAGAGATGAGAGAAGAGAGAAGAGAAAAGAGAGAAGAGAGAAGGGGACCAGTAGCTCACACCTGTAATCTTAGCTACTCAGGAGGCAGACATCTGAGAATGGAGATCTCTGAATTATGATTTGAAGACAGTGGGCAGGAAAATCTGTGAGACTCTTACCTCCAATCAATGACCAAAAAGCCTGAAGTGCAGCTGTGGTTCAAGTGGTAGAGTGCCAGTCTTGAGCAGAAATAGCTAAGGGACAGCACCCAGGCCCTGAGTTCAAGCGCCAGCACAGAAGAAGAAAATAATGCCAGCTTTGAGAGAACACAGATACCAGGGACCACCTTCAGAACGCCACAGGAGGGTGAATGGTCCTGCCACACCAAACGCTGAGCAACAAGAAACTCTCAAAGCTTGAGGACACAGAGGGTCTACTAAATAAACCTCAGGCCCATCACACTCCAGAACTAGCCCCAAGAATGCACCACTCCCTTTTCACAAGCCCACCCCTTCCCATTTCACAGGGGCAAGCCAGCATTCCAGGGAAGGGGAGGATCCTGGGAGGGAAGTTCTCAACCCTCCTAAGCCTACTCCTATTTCCCAGCCCTCAAGGCTCCCCTTACCAACCAAAAGAACTTCCCCAAGAAGATTTCAGAAAAGTAAGGAACGTCTGTTCTGGAATCCATACAGTGGGGGTCTATTCATATGATCCTGGCAAAGACCTAAACTTCTCTAGGGATTGCTATAAAGTGTCAGCAGCCAGTTCTAGTCACCTTCAAGTCAGCACAGGGTGTGAGCAGCAAAGAGCCATCATTCTTTCCATTGGGGTACAGAACCTGTGGAGTGGAGAGAGAAGAAAGGAAAGCTAATAGTAATGACTAAGCAGCTGGCTTCCAAGGCATCTGGCCTAGACAGATAAACAAGACCACACAGTCAAGTCTGAGGGCAGCAATGTGGTTAAAGGTGTTGCAGAGGAAAGAAAAACAGAAGTAGCCTCAAAGTAAATAATTCTCCAGGTCCCCACAAGGCACAGGCCAAGGGCTGGCAAATCAATTCCACCCCACCATTCCCCAAGCCATTACAATGGAAGGTGGACGCATTTCAGAGTTCATCTCACCCATCCCACAGAAGGAAGATTAGGCCCAAGGGGAGATAGTTTAACTAGTACACTAGCACACTTAAAAGGGAACTGGGATTCTTTCTGAGTTCATCTCACCCAACCCACAGAAGGAAGATTAGACCCAAGGGGAGATAGTCTAACTAGTACACTAACACACTTAAAAGGAAACTGGGATTCTTCCAAAGGTGAGCTCCTTACACCAGGAGTTCACATTGCAGTAACTCAACTAAAACCACCTGCCGCATCCAAGGTCTATCTTCCCTCAGTTTCCATCGATGTAACGCTTTTATTGGCCTGTTTCATACATCAATCCCACCATCCACACGAACTCTTCTTCCCTCTACGACTCCAAAGGGGTATCTGTATTTAAACATCACCAAAGATCACTGCCAAGTAAAACCTACAATTTCATAGAAGGACCAGCACATTCACATTCAAATGAATACCACTGAGAAAAGCCAGTCGACCCGCTGGTGATCCTTAGGTGATACCTGGACAGCTCCAGAGGACCTTCCCAGGGGTTTTCCCCCCTCGCTGACAATGTAGGGAGATGCTGACGTTGCAAAGCCCATTTCCTGGCTGTGCAAACTGAGGGACTTCGTTTGATCAACCGGGGGGGGGGGTGTACCAAAGTAGAGCTAGAATTTTAAATTAAAAATAAAAGCACCAACAGTTTCTCCCTCTGACTCAGTGGCTAGAATGGGACCCCCCCGCCCCCCCCGCCTGGGGGAGCTGCGCGGGGAAATAAAAGCCACTTGTTTTAGACAGACGCGGGGGTGGGGGGTGTTGCCATTTGGCATGCTTGATGGGGGGGGGAGAGGGGGGCAGAAAGCCAGCGTTCCCCGGATGCCCACGGGTCGCACACACACTTAATGGGATGCCAACCCCCCACCCCGACCCCCAGCTCCCCCGGAGGCACCGCCGGGCTGGAGCGGGGAGATGCGGGGTTGCGGGGGGGGGGCGGCAGGACCGTGGGCCTCGGACACCACCTGCTCCGGAGCAGCCGCGGGCAGGGATGCTGTGCGCCCGCCGACCCCTG